TCATTTGGATTAATTTTATATTACATTGAAAATGGTTATTGGAATATTGCTGATCAAAAAAGTCCTGATAAAAAATTACCAATAACTACTACTGGGGATTCCTATACTATTAATGTTATTGAGAAATTGTTGGAAAAAAATGTTAATAACAGGTATAAATCTATTTTGATATTTTATAGTTTTTATGATTTTTATTTTTTATTTACACACAGTTAGCTAATCTTTTTCTTTTTCTACAAAATCACTTTAGAATGACATTGGCTCAATTTAAGGTAGGAATGAAATCTTATAAAGAACCAATTGCATTTTTAGTTTATTAATGTTATAACTTTTATAAAAGGAAACAACATATTATGAGAAATTATCAAAAGGCAACATTCAAGGTGATTTTAACCATGCCCAAAATAAAACCATTGTAGAAAGCAAGTATTCTTTCTTGGTGTGATTAATGAACATTGATAAATAATAATAATATTTTTCTATTCTTTAGAATGGACTTATCATGAAAAATCTAAAGTGCAAATTGAAAAAGAGGCCAAAGAACTTAATCCAGATATAAAAGATGATGAATTAAAAAAAATGAATCTTGATTTACGACAGGTAAAATTTCAAATTATAATTAATATAAATATAAAATTGCATATGAATAATTATTATTGCTTGCATGTATGTAGGAACGATTTTTATCATTCTTGGAAAGGTATCATCAAGAAATGAAAATAAGTTTGAATGAAATGAATGAGAAATTAGATGAGGTTAAGACTTCTGTGTTAAATCTTACTGAAACAATTCCACGAATGGTATTCATTATTTGCAAATTTTTTTACTGGTTTGTTTATTGTCAATCATGTGATTAACACAAGAATTTTTGGTTTACATAGTTAATAAAAATACAGAATGAGAAAACACCTAGAGTTTTTATAATGGTACCTCAACGTCGTGAGTTTAAAAATCCAATGTAGGCAAAATTTACCAGATTTATCATTTTATAAAGGACACTTTCAAATAATTATGTAATTATTTTTTGCAGGTCCTGGTACAAAAATACATTCAGAATGTATTTTGTATGTGAACACTATAATAATTGGCATATACCAGAGCAAGAGGGCTATGTGATCACAAAAGTTCCTGAATTCATTAAAAAATATGGACCTTGGATACAATTATGGTAAAAAAATTTAATTTAATTAACTGGTACAAATTACAAAAAACATATTTCTTTAAAATTGACTAATAAATAAATTATCATTATTAGTATTAAAGCCTTAGTATTTGGATTACGTGCAGCAACCAGTAATTTATTTCCACAAGAAATATGCAATATTCTCTCAGGAATATTTAATGTAAAAATTGACAACAGTGATGAAATTGTTCAATATTTTCAAGAGATAATTGATACAGTTGGTATTGGAGTAAAAGAAATCATTGATATTAATCCTGATTTCATTCTATTGGAACATGACAGAGAAAGTAATTATCCAATTATAAATGCTTCTGGAATACATGCTTTAGCAAGTAGGTAGATTCATAAAATTGTCTCTTTCTAAACATACTTATTTTTATTATGACTAATTACAATTAAAATTATAATTATCTTTGTTTTTCATAGGTTTTATTAAAAGTAAACAAAAATCTGAAAATTTTGGAGGCTTAGTCCAATGCATAGATAAAAACAATCAGAATGTCATATGGTTATGTGATAAGCATCGAAATGATAATGATTATACACTTAAAGATGAACCATGATCTCCACGCTCTCCACATTCATCTGATCAAAATTCAACTCTTCCAACCCCTCAAACCTCTCATGAATTAATACATAACCCAACATATCCATTTGACAGTTATTATGGTCATGGAAATGATCAAATAGAAGTGTCATCTTCATTACTACCTATTTCTAAACCAAATTCTGGAGAGTCAATGGATATTGATAGCCTTGTTCCATTAATGATTTTGGTTAATGAAATCCTTTTAGATGTTTTTGATAATGCATCATCATCTGAATGCATTTATTTTGGCATTGACAGAATTAAAAAAGAGACATACAATATGCGTGAAAATTTGGAGAATCTTGAGCAATTTTATCAAAATTGGCTTGATGCTCTTGACACTCAACAAAAAGAGCTCTCAAAGACCATATTAAAAAGGTATATTGTTGGTTATGTCTATTTTTTAACAGTGATTTATCGATATTGTTATGGTATGTAAAATTATTTAATTTAATTTATCATTTAACTTTCTGCTAAAAATTTTCTTTTATTTTTTAAAAATATATAAATAAGTAAAAGCAGCAAACAAAAGTTTGAGTCTAGCATTTAATTCTCTTGGTGTTTTACCAGTTGTTAATAAGTATTTATATAATTGATTGCTAATTGAAATTTACTCTTTTGGTTTTGATTTTACAACTTGTCAATAATATGTTTGAAAAATAATGATCAAAATGGCATTGAACAAATTTTAAACAAACTTGATTCAAGTTCCAAGATTTTAAATAAAATTCCTCAATCTAATAAATTCATGAAGAATAATACTTTAAAAGAATGGTATATAATTCGTAGAATATCTATGATTTTTGATATTGATGGCAGAGAAAATGAATGTAATGGAGAAGATAGGGAGAACAAGGATGGATATAAGAAAGCCTTTAATGATATTTTAGTGATAAAAAATAGAATGTTAAAAGAAAGCATTCTAGTTTTTGGAAAAGAATTAAATTCTAAATGTTTCAATGAAGAGCATAATATAGATTGCATAGAGAAGGAAATTTATATGTATAGTGAACAACATTTGAATGACTCGGATTTTATTTAAAATTTCTAGGGTTCACTGTAGACAAATTCAAACCAATACTTCATTATGAATTTGCTGATTATGGAGATTTGTACAAGTATTTAAAAAACAACCAAAGTTTGCCTGAAAATGAAAAACTGACTTTGGATGCCAAACTAAGTTTGTCTTTAGATATATGTTTAGGACTTAAATTTTTACATAATGTAAGTTTACAAGTTATTTATTTTTTTGCATTTCCTCACCATGTGAACATTCATTTAATTCTCAACCTATTTCTTTTTTGTTAAGAAAAAAATTCTGCATTTGGACTTGAGAAGTAGCAATATATATCTGTTTGAAAATAGATCTGAGAATGAATTTCCAAAGCCAAAAATTTCCAATTTTTTATACAGTATAGATATGTTGAATAATCACACAATTGTTAAACCATGTCTACCAAAAAGTATTGACAACCAAGTCAGGAAAAGATGGCATGAACCACAACGTTTAAAAAATGAAAAGTATAATTGCACATTTGAATCAGATTATTATAGTTTGGGAATGTTGCTTTGGGAAATATTTAATGCAACAGGAGCTTTGCCATATGAGAAAATAGAAATTGAGAATTTATATGAACATTTAAGATCTAAAAATGGGCTTGAAAGTTTTCCAAATAATTTACACAAACCTTTGATATCTAAAATAACCAGGTCATGGGCATATAATATTGATGAACGGACAACTTTAACTGCTATGGCTGCAACATTAAGAAGATTCAAAAAAAAAAAGAAAAAGAACCCCCATCAACACAATGGGGGATGGAGAAGGGAGAAGGGAGATTTACCAACTTGGATTGAGAAATCTAAACTTCAATATGGGTTAATTATTGATGAGATAGGTGTAAAAAAAGGAACTATTCTGCCCATCCAACCATTTATTTATTTGTCAAATCTAAAATTAATAGAGTTAATCTAGCTGATTCTATAAAATCCAGCTTGACAACCACAAATTCATTATTACATTCTCACCTTTTAAAAAGCGATATTAAAGTTGTTGATGATGAAATGATAAAGTTCTTTAACCAAGAAGTTCCTTTTATTAATTTGAAAGTAAAAGATTCATGGAATTTAAAATCTAAACAAAATATAGAGGATTCATGGGATTTAGGATTTAAAAAAACAACTCATTATGAGATTAGTAGTCAACAAATTGAACTGACTTTTGAAAATTTTGTACCATCAAATGAATTAATTAAAGCTGTATGTGAGGCTTTAGATACAGAAAATCCTTATCATGAACTTGAAATTATATTTAATGAATATGGTCATTTATTATGTAAAAAAATTATATTAGGTGGAAAATTATCAAGATCACAACATTTGGATTTAAATGGTAATTTCAAAGATCAGTGAGTCATAATAATTATCATTATTATCAATTATTGATTTAAATTATTTTATTTTCAGAAAATCTATTTAAAGAAAGGATAATTGAAAAACCAATAGATCCATTAAGCATAAATAACAATGAACTTGATGAAATGTTAAAAGAATGGGATGAGATTCATAGGATAAATGGACACACAACAAAAATAAATTCATTAATTGGGTGGATAAACATAATGTTTAATAATTCAGAAATTTGGGATGTAATTTATTATGCTGACCTAGTTCCACTATATAAAATTTTAGAAGAATCATTACAAAAAGAAATTGAACTTCTTTTCAAAGATCAAATATTAATGATGGATTCAATTAAAATTAAAGATAAAAATATAAAATATTATAGAGTTGATTTTAAAACTTCTTTGAAAAGTGATAAATATCAAATTTATGGAACCATTTTTAATAAAGATTCTGAAAAATGTTCTAATATCATCATCAAATTTAAACATTTTGATCAATATGGATTTTCAATAATCATTGAAAGGTATCTAATACATATGATATTATCCTTATATTAATGGTTAAAAAATAATATTTTTTTATTTATTTTTATAGGTTTGATGAAAACCAAAATGATGTTCCTCATATTATATGGGCAATGGTTGGTTATCCTATGGAAATAGGATTTTATAGCAAAAACACCAGAAATTTAGAAATGATGAATAGTGAAAAGGTAAATTTTCTCATTTTATAAAATATAGTAACATTTGAAATTGAACTTAATCTATCAACAGAATTTATTACATTGCGGCCTTTAAATATACCATTATTTATTTATTTGTCATTAGAGTTCTGGAACTGATTTAGGCGATATCTTTAACATGTCTTCATTAAATAACATCTTTAGTAGAGTTTTTGGAGATTTGCTTGATGGTAAATTAAAAAATTATTGATTACTTATTATTGATAAATTGTTTAAACATTATCATTATTAGATATATATTAGATAAAAAAAAAAATGTTGAAATTACTGATGAAATTGAAATTGTAGAAGTAGAATATAAAGATATTATTATAAATTTACTTTACAACACAGAACAATTTTCATTAAACATCACCTAACTAAATAATTTGATTTTTTATTACTTTATAATAACCAGGGAGTAAGTATTATATTGTAAATTAATACAAAATAATTTTATTTTTTATTTCTTTATAATAATCAGGGGGTAAGTGTCATATCATAAATTAACTTTTAAACACAAAATAAACTTTATTAAAACATCATCTAATTGAAGAACTACAGGAAATTCCTTCACCACAATTATCCAAACCACCATCACCTCCAATTAGTCAAGATAGCAAAGAAACAAAGGATGAGCCAAACAATGGAATAATTAATGAAAACAAAGAAATTATTGATAAACCTAAGGATAATTGGGTAAAATGGCTCAATGAGGCAATTCAGAATGAACACATTAATTTTTATAAATATAGTAATTTTAAAAATACTCAAAAATTTGGTTCTGGTGATTCTGGAAAGGTTTATAAAGCAATATATAATAATAGCAGTACTTTTGCCTTGAAATCCTATAAATGTGGTATAACAAATATGAAAGAAGTTATTAATGAGGTAAATTATGATATATTTTGATTGTAGATTAAAAAAATTTTCAACTAATGATAATAATTGGCTTAATTAGTTGAAATTATTACGTAAAGTTGACTACCATCAAAATATTATTCATTTCTATGGTGTCACTAAAAATGAAGGTATGTTTAAATTATTTCCTATTTTGTTTTTCTCCATTACTAATAATTATATTTATATATAAAGGCAAAGAGAAATATTTATTGGTCCTTTAGTATGCAGATGGTGGAACACTAAGAAGCTACAGTGCAGGACACCTAATCCCGCAACTTACTGCGCCACGACGACGAATTTTGGGAAAAAATTTCCAATCAAAA